GTAAAGACGTTGTTAAAGTGTTGGAAAACGGTTCGTCTGTCGTCGTTCATGCAGAAAGTCACGTACCGTGGATTTTGCTCGTAGGTGGGAATAACTTTTTTCGAATGGACGTGCGATTTCGACGTCCCTTTCTGGCGAGCGAGCCAAAGCGCACGAAGAACTACTCCAGGGGAACGACGTGCATTCACGACGACTATTCCTCGATCGGTTGTGAAATAAGAAAAGTTTGTCGTTTTTACGGCCCCTTACTTCATTTAACTTCGTTTGCTTCACTTTCTAATACGAACTAGATAGCATTTTGCTCAAAACATTTGCTCAATGACGGTCATTACTATAACTCTGTCAAGTTATCCGAATTCCACAAGCAAGCCTAACTGATAATAAAAATATTTTTATATATACAAAGAACTTTTGTTCTTCTGCTGCATTTTTCGTGAAATTAATTTAATTATTATATATAACAGAATATATTTAATAATTCTTAGAAATTTCTTCACAAGAAGTGTATAGTTTCACATGATCGTTTATGTATACGTTCTATCACATAACTAATTATTCATAATTATATGTAGTCTTGTATTTAATAGTATTAATTTAATAATCCTCAGAAATATCAACGCATAAAATAATCCACTAAGAAATGCGATTAATAGGAATTTATAATTAATATTAACGTTTCGAGTATTCTCAAAAGAAGTTCGCGCAACTAATTTTCACTCGTATTGTTTCAAACTCCTAGAGATAACATGCATCCGAACTTTCTACTCCATATCATTTACTTAAGGTCTGCTCCGAGTTCAAACTTTATAAATTATAACTTTGGAATGTTAATGCATCTCTTCTTTGAAGTTAATTTTATTTCGCTCGTTCCCCTTTAAAACGAAGTTGCGTAATTACTGATAAGAGTGCCTTGACTGCACAGTTTACTTTAGAAGATTCAATATCGAGTGATTATTTGCAAATGTACTATGTGCTTCGAGGGGTGCGCCATATGTTTTATATTTATCTTATTTCGTTTAGCGGCTACCCTGAAAATATGAAAATATAACAATGTTTACATTGTAACCACTTTGCAATTTACCTGCCCGAAAAAGATTCTTCATTAGATGAAACTAGTATCTATTAATAAAACTAGTATCTAATATTTGTCGTAACAATTTTATGAATAATAAAACGATACTATGAGTGTTTCGCGAACATTTGTAATCGTTTAGCATTCATTTTCGGGCCAAGTTTCGTTTTCTCTGATGGAATTGAAGATGTTTGAAGGAGATACTTGGCTTATGTACCTATCCATGTACGTACGTATCAAACCGCTCGGTTTCCATTCGCATGATACCTGCGCGCGTTGAAATTCCTGGGTTAACGGGGTAAACGTATGTATCGACTTCTTCCCCGGTTGGTATTCATGTATTCATAGCCGGGAACATTACCGGATTTGTATTAGCGCCACAGGTGGCGATGTTCATTTAACTTTGCCAGGTTCGTAAAACTTAGAACAATCAGCCAATCGAATCGAAAAGCGAAATCGAATGAGCAATAAATGTCCTTATTTATTGGGATCCATCGGTTGGTATACTTTTTCTACGATGCTCGGCGGCATAATTTAATAAATTGCTTCCCCGGCAACCAATAACGCGATCCATCAGATTCATCGTGAGCATGTGATTCGATACAAAAATGTATTTCGTAGATTCGCGACGCGACTCGTGATTACATTAAACATTCATTGAGTTTCTTAGTATTATACGGAGTGTGAATGGGAACGAATGACACGCTGGGCGATTCGTTGTGAAAAAATGAATCGAAAATGTGGTATACAGTTCTTTTGTACGACGCTTCGTTTTCGAGAAAATCAATTTTTAATATGACCATGTAGCGTCTGACCATTGCTCGTTATTTCTACTTGCTTTGATGCTCTGAGCAGTAATGACGTAATATACTCTATACCCAGTGTTCTTTCTACCTTCCTACTACTTGAAACCAATTGAAATAGATGATGGGGAACTACTACGATGGTTCCCTTCATTAATGTAAGTGAAATGTTTTGAAAATTGATTTTCTCGAAAACGAAATGACCCATCAGAAATTTTATTCCACATTTTCAATTTAGTTTTGCATAAGGAATTTTGCTTACCTTGCATCTGATTGAACCACTCGTCCTCTTCTACTCTGATTGGGTTTGTAAGAAACTTCAGTTTCTATTTCCCTCTTCGACTATTGTAACCTGAATAAATAAGAGATTCAATTTTGGACACAGCTCGCTCAGCCCTTTCGTGCTAAAATTTATCATAATAATTAAACCACTGAGAATAAATTTTTAACTATAGCTTCACCCACCATAATCAACTAATACGAGTATCTATTAGGGTATTACAGGTAGATATTGTAATCAAATTTATACTTTTACGTATAGAAGTTTTTAGAACAAAATTGGTTCCAAACTTACTATGCAACTTATCCATAAAACATTCAATGCGAACATAGAATTATAATTGTAGGTGAGATTAACTATATTAAAGTCCCACTTTATCACTTTATAGATAGACAATTTCGTAGCATGCTAGTTTCTGCCAACGAATTCTCTGTCCCCTGTGAATATCAACAGGAAATGATTCAACATTTGTTCGGCCCAATTACATTAGTCCAAGAACAGTTTGACTAAAAGCAGCGGAATATATTTCTAGTTTCCTATAAATTATTCTAGAGACCAGCAAGAAACGAGAATTAAATCCTCACTCGGAGAGGAATCTCTTTTGAGTCGTTAATGGTAAATTCTGTTCGGTAGAGTGAGACAGAGGATCGAATTTGTAGAAATTCGATAAATTGCCAGAACAGTCTTGGGTCGCCAAGAAAGCATTAGGTCTTTGAAACAAATGAATATAAAATCACTAAGTTCAGAATTAAATGCACGAAATTAACAATCATTCGACAAGAAAATTTTCTTGAAATCTTTCAACTTAATTTAACTGCGCTATGTTTTTCTAAGATCAATCCACCATTTATTTATAACGAAAAACCGTACAACTCTTAATCTTGCCTCACGCACATATTCATTACGAAGGTTAGCACTTTAATATAACTTTAGGTTAAATATTTCTGTTTAAACTAGAGTCACAAGTAATTGAATGTAAAATCAGAGAAATAGGTTTTACTCATAATAATTGTAATCTGTTCGAAGAATAATAATAAAAAAAATTGGTGGACTACTGAACTTCGTATACTTACATAGAAAAATTGTATTGTCCATCAGGTTGAGACTGAGAAGATTGATAATTTAACGTAACCAAATGACGAGTAAATAATTTTGCATAAACTACAATTATAAACTCTTGAATATAAAGACACAAAATTAACTTTTACGTCTAATATAGTTTATCTCGTGATTTATGTCGCGGATATATTTAGTAGTACGATTAAATGTCGTCGTAGCTTTGACACAATGAAGCCGACCTGATTTAGCAGTCTCCAGTCAGCACCCGTTGTGTTGTAAATATATCCAGCCACTTTCCACAACTCCCGAGACTTTTATCTCTTTAGAAAGGGATCCGAGCGGACCAAATATCCCAGATTCCGTGTAGCTGGGAATTTGGTAGAATTTAATTCCGAGACGCAGAAGAACGGCAGGCTCTCGCTCTTGCTGCGCATTATCCGCAAGCAACTCCTTGCATTCATCTTCCCTATCCGACGGTGTTCATACACGCGCATGTAGCCCTGCCGCTGCACGCTGGTTGAAACAATGACCGCTTCTGTTGGGCGACTCCCGCGTATCCTTGGAACACCGTCGACCATCTATTTCGATGTTTCGGGGCTGGGATACTTCAATACGAATGCACGATCCGGGAATCCGTGGTCAGAGAGGCGTTTGATGGTACGGGAATGCATCGGAGGTCTTCGACCTTTCGAAAGATACGTGGTTAGCTTAGAAATTAAATCAGCAGCACCAGGAATTATTTTCCTAATCCTCTTACCCTTTAATGGAATTTAATTTTATATATATTATACGTGTAAAGTGTTTTAAATCCGGCTTCGATTAATTGTTTCTGGATAATAATTGTTATAGGTAAATATTTGTATGGATCAATTCTACTAATGATTTGATGGAATGAAGCATATTTGTTTATGTAAATTTTTTTTTCAATATGATAATTTAATATAAAATATCTTGGAAAAGTATAAACATTCGTAGAAGTAACAATTCTAGTATTTTAATACTGTAAAACATCTTGCAGATAAGGAACGAAACTTGCGAGTATCATAACATCTGTTCTTACAATGAAATTCATTTTGAACTCCGATGGCCGAATTTTGCAACTTCGAAGCTAGAAGAACTTCCACTGCGAACTAGTTCAATTGTTTCACCTGAATTTGTAACGAAACCCATCGTATTACACGAACTCTAACGAACTTTCCAACTCTGAACCAATCCAACTCTCGTATTCGTCGTACTTACTTTCAATTTTATCAAAACTTCGACCACCCTAAATTTCGATACCAAAATCAATCCATGTTCTCTTAGACGTTTCTCAAAATAAATAGAACAAATTAAAACTGTCAATCTAAATGTCGTATCGGAAATGGGTATTTATAATAAAAGTAAATATTATAATAGAAATAAAAATTCTTTGGTACTTTGCACTTTTAATGCCAAGTGTATTATCCAGATACTCAAATCCTATTATAAATAGCAATAAATATAATAGTTTATCTATGCATACATCTGCTCAATAAAAGCCTGAAGCTTCAGAAACAGCTCATATAATCCGATAAACCGTCAAGGTTTGTTCTAATCATTGAGTAACTAAAAAATCATTTCTAAAAACTCGTCAAAATTCATTACCAGCTTCTACCTAATGGCTCAAAGCGCAAAGGGTTAATCGAATAATACTGCTATTTGAATAAATATCGTCTTGAAATAGCCGTTTTACGTTTAATCGGCGATACATACGATTCATCGCATAGTGAGTGATCAAAGCACAACCAGGTTCTTCTGGTTACAGATTACGACAGGAATTACGGTCCGGCGTCGATGAGGCCACCAGGCGAACCTCCTGTGGACGCCTTGAGTCCTGGCGTGTCCCACCGGGCTCAGCTCGTTCTTCATCTTTCGGTGAGTCTGCTGTCACTGCTACTTCCAGCCATCCGAAGGTGATTCTCACGTCGCGGGAACGGGGCTTCCAGTTCTAGTGTTTATTGGACGGTGACCATACCGGAGGCGGCTACCAGTTTCCGGTACGCCGCCTCCGGCTGGGATGATGGACGAGTGCGACGAGACAAGACGCGCTTGAAATTATTTTCATACTAAAATTAGACGTATACAGAGAGCAAAAGAGGATATTATATATATAAAAGTATATATATAAATATATAAATATATGAAGAAATATAAATATAAATACAAAATATAATATGTTGTGTAAGTATACCGCAGTGAGTAAGAAGGAATCCTTAGGCTTACGGTTTGCCGATCGTTTATTGTGACTTGCGCGACGTTCTTGCGCGAAGAGACTTCTCGCCATCTTCCACGTGATCCGTGAAACGAAGAAACTCTGTCAGCTGACGGGGGATGTTTGACAATTGGGGGGCACTCCGAGATCTCAAGGGTTTTGGAGGATCGTGGTTTACGTGGTGCTGACAAAGTTGTTAATTTTTGTTGGGGATAGATAATGCAGATAGGAAAGGACGATTAGTCTATCTCAATGTCAGTAATCAAGCTTGGTTGCTAAGTAAGTAAATAACTATATAATAAAATTGATTTTGAGGAATTCGTAACTTTAATTATGTCAAATGCATCGACTATGAATATTAGTAATATTAATAGTGTTGTTGTTTAAGTGTTCAGATACTATTGTAAATGTATTAAAATGATTTTTTTGATTATTCTGCTTGACGACTGTATACTTTTAAAATATAAAAAACAAAGTAATTTTCTTAGAGACGTCAATAAAATATGAAAAGCAATTCTTTAGATTCTAATGCTTTAGAGATGTGAGTAAAAATATGAAAAGTCGATTTCTTTGAAGAGGTGTTTCCTTTCCTCATAACCATTTTTCCGTTTCCAATGAAAAATAGCGACGAGATTATGGGCACGCGTGCTACATTTTCACAAGACGTCGGATTTTTCAAAGTGTATCACTTGTCAAACTTTCCTCGTGAGTGAAACTCAGCGCGAAGGAGGCGTTAGTCCGAATGATTTTCCCATTTCCGTTTCTCGTAGGCGCGCGTGTGCGTCGCAAAAATTCGACGCTCATCGTCGCCCTCGTGTAAACACTTGTGCTTTAAGCGTTCTGCCAAAAGTTTTATAATCAAAAAGCGCGTTTAGACGATTCGAGTGGCTCCGTTCGCACGAGAGAACACGAATCGGTGGAAAAAAGGAGGAGCAGAGTGGGTTCCGGATTTTCTTCGTTTCAGCTAATTACCTATGTAAACATCACTGATTTCATAAATATTCAAGAACGTTTTGTAAGGGTTCTCGATTCCCCTTCTACAGTTGTGAAACTCGCTCTACTCCGTTTGTACTTAACGACAGAATAACCTTCTTTGGGAAACGAGAAGAATGTGTCTATGTTATACGTTTGCGATTAAAAAAAAAAAAAAAAAAAAAAGTAAATCGACGATGTATTTAAAATCCCAAAGAAACGTTCGAAGCATGTGTAAGACCTCTGGTCGCGAGAATTGTTATTTTTTAACTAATTCTTGCGTATTTTTCGACCGTACGCGATGTATTAGAGAAAAGTGATCAGTTCTGGAAAAAAATAAAAAGATAAAAATAACGTAATTTTATTCGAATTAATTAGACAGTTTTAGTATAAGTTACTAGTATTCAATGTAGTGGGTCAAGTTTAGGAAAAGATTTAACGAAGTCACATTATAAAGTAAAAGTATAATTGCCTAATCGAGTAAATTTCACTTGAAAAAAAACTAGAATGTTTTCAGTATTCAATAATTTCCAATAATCCAATCCAAATATCCAAATATCCAATAACCAGTAAGTAGGCTTTATGATAGCTGACTGTCTAGTCTGACACAATACAATCCGTAACTACTTCCAGAACTGATATTTCTTTCTATCTGCAATACTAATCAGGATCTCATTATGCGTTACTCGAGTATAGCGCAAATTTCGAATAACGTGATTTCAATTGTAGACCAGTCACTCTAGATGGAAATGCACATAACATTCAGGAAAGATTCTTGTAAAGCTGATTTCTTTCATACACATTTATTATTCCGTTACAAACAATGCGATATAATTAATTTAATTGTTAAATTGGCACCATTTTACAGCCCTCTACAGTTATAAATAATCAGGACCTCTGCTTCTACGTATATATATCTTCAAAAATAGTAATGTTTATTTTAAAAATAATTACGATCAAATATAAAAATCAAGAATATTCCTAAAGAAGTAGCACATATTTTTTCTCTATACAAAACAGTTTAAACATTTAATTTTCATGGAATACATTATTTATAAAGTGCTATAAAAACATTATTTGTTACAAAATAATAAATATATAAAAAAAATCAGCTTCCTAGAAACTTCTCCATACCTGAATCTAAAGTGACTCGACTATTTCTTCTATACGACCCGACGTTCACGATAGTTTCTCTCTATTCGCGAACAAAGCACAACTCTATTTCGGTACATATAATGCATATACGTACGCATGAAAGAATAAACGAAAACATAAATATACATTATACACATATAATCGAATCGTAGTTGTGTTGGAACACGAGCTCCGATGTTTCGTCGTTAGTCGTTCGATTGAGAAAGCGTGGATGGACTGACACGTGAGTTAGTCATACATACGTAATACGTACGCGAGAAGTGACTATTTCAGTGAAATTAATGGACAATTGCGAGTTCTCGTGTGTCCAAAGCTGAGATGAGCAAAATTTGTATTTACCGTTAAAAGAAAAATTTCATTAGCGAATAAATGAGTAATTGTTCCATCGAATAAACTTTGCGAACAAATCGTTACACGTAGTTTTAATTCGTTATCTTTTATTCGAATAAAGTTTTGCCCATCTCTGGTACGAAGGCGACGAGAGATGACAATGGACGTCGTCGCGTAGCCTCGAATCATCGGCGACGGTGTCTTCGAGCAGAGAGCTTCGTCGTTTCAGTTCAATTTTGCATCGCTGTGCAGAAAGAAAATGTTCTTTCCGTGAGCTAAATGCCAACGACAATATTTTTAGCTTTAGCGAGACTCAACGTATGTGCCGACGTAAAGGAAATCATCCTGAAGAAATTCATTGAGAAATTCCAGAGCACCTGATGACAGTTACTTGATCAAGTTGACGGAAATAGGGTCATCGAATGTGGATCATTCTATCAGGATCGATTCTTGCAGTAAATTTATTAAGAAAATTCCTTCATCATTTTGCAACCTGAAACTGTGTTGTCGAAATATTAGCAATCAAAGTTTGTTGGTGAGACTCTTGGGGCGCGCCATTTGTAATGTAGTCAGCTGATCATACAGGTTGTTGCGCATGCGTTACATTACAAACTCCGAATGCTTATATCTCGATGGCGAAGCTTCCGATTAAAAAATGGAAAAGGTCTTTTTGATTCACTTTGGCGTGAGGAATTAATCTTCAAAGCAGCTCGTATATTTCTTATGAACAATCTGTTATTATATCAAGTATTTATAAATTATAATATTCCAAAAAACATTTAAAAATAATATTAAATTAACTTCATGCCAATTCTTAAATGACAAAATATTTATTCCATGGGTAATTCTTGTATTTGTAGGGTAGAATGTTTTCGTCGCCATATTCCCCTTAAAAATCAAGAATCGCCGTCACCAGGTGTACATACATAGTTCCAATCTAGATAGTATCAACCACTAATCACGCACATTGGGAACTCTTTTTCTAGTCTACGAACACTATGCAACTATATATCCTTAACTCATATAGTTAGAGCACGAACGAAAACAACAATGAAAACCGGACTCTTGACAATACAATATAGTAGTCTCTACGAACGAAGTGTTTTCAATTCTATTTCGAATTTCGTTCCAGTCGAATGCGCATAGTCAACGATTAGGTGCACTATTGCTGAAAAGTTTACTGTCACGCATTTTCACTATCAATAAAATGTACGAAAACAGTTACACTTTAACATCATTCATAAATATTGACTATCAAATACCATTATTGTCTTAGAGTGTCCCTTCCTCCGATAACCTCTCTAGAATGAATTTTCATTGCAATTTTAATGTAACTTAAGTTTTTGTAATTTTTCTACGACTCGTTAGATATTAAGATCCCTTCCTTGGCCCATTGCGATTCTCCCTACTGTTTGTATTGTCCAAAACATATCAAAATTCGAAATTCATTACAGTTCACGTTGCATTTAGAAATTGTGTCGCAGAATGCTAGATGATCCGAAACTTTTCAAAGGTAGTGCACTCTTTTAAAAGGGCTTTCGCCGGTGTTCTATTTCCGGTCCGCAGCAATTTTACACGTGTATGCAACGGATCCAAACGAGAGATACGAGGAACGTTACGCGTCTTTGCCGATTAATTGTGTAAATATTGTAGATATGTTGTGCTGTGATCAATCTGAATCGTCGTCTTTCGCGGGTGATGATTCGAGGCTGCGGTTGTTAAAGCGAGTGCTAAAAGCGAGTGTTGTGAATAGCATGTACACTAACTGTTCGGATCGATATGACGATGATCGTATGAAGACATCGTTCGGTAGAGAAAAAAAAATTGAAGCTGCAGCGATTATAGATATGTCGTATTAAATTATTATGATAACGTTATTAATGTATTCACGCCCGACGGTCTCACTATACCCGTGAAATTTTTATGAACGCGCTGAACACTGCGAACGATCCGCGCGAATTAGATATAGATAGTGATACTGTCGGTCTGTATATCTTAATAAATATCGAGTACATGACTGCCATTATAAACGACTATTTACTTATTTATCGAGTCTATTATGAACCTGCTTCCTCCACGACATTTTATTTTTAATTTATTCCATCTTACTTTGTAGCGGATTATATTTTATAATAGAAGTAAAGGCGATGATGGTAAGTGATAAACATTCAACGAAGTTTTGACATTACACATGTTTATGATATTTCATTAGTAATTTATTTAATAAATTTAACTGTCTAAAATTAGTGATGATAAGTAAATTGTAGTGAATTATTTAAATTAATGTGTAAAATATTTTATGCAAGCCAGAACTAATTCTTAAACCATAGTGACGCATTTTAATAAATTATGGTTTATTCCTTGAATTGATTTTGCTTTATTTGTAAAATTGTATAATGTAGTTAAGAGGTAAGTTTATCCTGTATGTAATTATATCAAGTATTGGACAGTTTTATTCTAACAACAAATAATTAGAATTCATAGATACTCTTACTATATATTCTACATTAATTCAATTATTTTTAATTAGTCTACAAATAAAAATAAAATAACATCAAGTAACATTCGATAATCCTGAAGCCGACCAGTGTCTACTCGGTGCTTTAACCGTGGTCCCATGCACCAGTGTGTTTTAACAACACAGTGTCTACTCGGAATTGCGACAAGTCCTATAAGTCCCAGAGCATTCACGGCTCACCTAGAACGGTCCACTTCTACTGCTTCCTCCCAATCCCGAATGACAGTAAACTAAAACCAGTAATGGGCGATCAGCTCTTTGAACCTCCACATTCGACAATACTACAATAATCTTTTCCAGTAATGTTCTTTGACACGTTCATTACACTCGAGTAATTCCCATTTATAATGAAAACCATATAATGGGATAATAAGTTCGATTGTTTGCCGTGCAAAACGTGCGTTTCAATATCCAGTCGATAGACTGTCTAAATAATTCGTGTCGTTGTTTTCAGTAAATATATAAACGATGACGAGTTACAGAACGCGTTAGAAAGATTGACATAGTTAATTAACGAGGTATTCGACGATGCGAATTGACTTCCAAAATGCCGCATAAACAAATATGACAGCTGTATTGCGATCCACGCGCTATATACCTTGTTATAAGTTGAAATATACCGAGTATCGAGCGTGGAATGTTTAAATTAATTTTCAAACGGAGTAACGAGTGCTTATGCACTCATATCAATTTATTGGTTTGCTATGGTATATTTGTGTGTTTGTAAACTGGATGAGCTCGTCTGATTATTACAAGTGACAAAATTTGTTTGTATTATTAATATTTTCGTAATTTTACTGTCTCTCATTATCTACAACTATTACTTCTTCATTTCATTCATTAATATCAATTTCGTGGAGTTTGGATTTTTTTAAACACTGTTAATGGTTGTTTTTTTTCTTCAATTTATCTGTGAAATAATCTACACGTTACGTTTGCATTGTTTTATATTTGCATTTTTTGATAGTTCATTTAAAATTCTCTTTACCTAAAAAATGTGCTTTTCGATTGTTTTAGTAGGTATTCAAAATGTTGCATACGTGCTTGTAATGATGGATATTTTATTTACATCGTTTCAAAAACATGATGGCGCGTTGTCGATGACAGGGAAATTGAATCTCGTTTTTACGAACACCGTCAGTTTCATAACCGTATGAAGCTCAAAAACACATTCTATATACATTCCAA